GTGATAGCTACTATTTGTATAGCCTGGGACTTCTGCTGAGAGGCCTGACACCCAGAAATGAAGCTGAGTTTGAATCTGTGTCAACATGGTAAGCACCATTCACACCTACCTGATGACTCACTTACCTCATGGGACTACATATCAATGGGAGCTCTTTCAGTGACTGACCCCAACAGAAAGCAGAGGTGGATCTCAGAGAGACTCGTGCTTTGTTCTTAACGGCCTCACAGGTTTGGTGCTGGTGGAAGGAGGCATTGCTGTGCAGCTTGGCCCTTCCCTGGTGCACCTAGGCCTAGCAGAGGCAGTCACAGACACTGCACCACTTTGTTGCTCCACACAGGTCACCCAAGGAAAGTCACAGGTAGAGACAGACATTGACTTACAACAGAGTGCCCTCACAAGAGGCTCTAGTAGGTAACTACAGAGCAGGAACCAATTACTTCACAATCAGAACACCCAAAGGAAGATCTTGGCAGGCACCATACCACACTGGTGTGAATTACTCGACATGGGGTCAGCCTTCACACAGCAGCTACTGTGGAGAGCCAGCCTGATCAGAAACCCTATCCACATATAGACCAACATCAAGACTCTACAAAAAGAGGGCTCACGGCACACTCAAGTGATATTCCTGGAGCACCTCACTCAAGTGGATCATAGAGATTGTGCCAATAAGCCTGACAAGACAATTAATACATAAGGCCATTTTACCAAGACTTGGAGGCAAAGTAGATCTACCCAATTCATAGAAACAAATACAGAGAGGCAGATTAAATGGGAAGAAAAAGAAACATGCCCCAAATTAAAAAAATAGGAAATATCCCCAGAAAAAAGAGAAAGCAAGTACGAAAGAGGATAAATAAATTATATAAAATATCCACTCAGAAATGAAGAAACAATACCTGAAATGAAGAATACTCAAGAAGGAATCATAGCAGAGAATAAAGCATAGAATAGAATCTTTGGCTTACAAGAGAAGGTAGCAGGAAACAATCAATTAGAACAGCAAAGCCAAGGTGGTTGGGGGCCGAGGCAGAAGTGGTTAGGGGAAATCAGACAGGCAAAGGGTTGACTAGCCAGGTAGGCAGAGGCAGTAACGGGTGATCAGGTAGGAAGACAGAGGCAGTTAGGGGTGATCTGGCAGGTAGGCAGAGTGATTAGGGGCAATTAGGCAGGCAGATAGGTAGGCGGTTAGGAGTAAGCATTCCTGGATTGTGAGAGGAAGTCCAACTGCTAGGATTGGACCTAAACTGGCAGTCGGACATCCCTTGAGGGGTCCCAAATTGGAGAGGTTGCAGGCCGTGCTGAGGCTGCCCCCTCCCCTTTTGTACATGAATTTCGTGCGTTAGGCATCTAGTATATATATATAATTTTTATTAAAGAGACTAGTTTGAGACTTCTTGGATAGCAGAAATCATAGCACCATCCACATTAAATGGGTACCAGAAGGAAGAGAGTGAGAGCACAAATAAGGACCTATTTGAGAAAATAATGACTGAAAACTTCCCTGGCCTGGTGAAGAAAAAGACACACAAGTGCAGTATGCAAAGAGAGTCCCAAACAAGACACTTTTTAATTAAGATGGCAAAGGTTAAAGGAAAGGAGATCTTAGAAAAAGAGGGGGATAAACAGATGGTAACCTGTTTATGGAGCCTCCATAATTCTGTTAGATGCTTTCTCAACAGAAGTATTTCAGGCCGACAGTTACCTGAAATAATCAAAATGATAAAACAGAAGGCTCTACAACCAAGACTACTCCACCCATCAAAGCTATCATTTAAAGTTGAGGAGGAAATAAAGAGCTTCTAAGTAACCTAAAGAAGTTTATCACACAAAAAAGGATAGTATTGTGGGAAATATTAAAGGGGCTTCTATATAAAGAAAAAGAAAAAAGGCAAGGGACATAATTATAAATGATAAAATAGCAATAAGCAAGTACCTGTCAGTAATCCCTGTAAATGTATATAGCTAAAAAGCTCCAATCAAAAGACATAGAGTAAATGGATGGCTAAGAAAACAAGATCCCTACATGTGAACAATGGGCCTTGAAAGGACTGACTCCATCCTGTCATTTGCCCTCCATCTGAACCAAAGTCACTCCATCTTGTTCCCATAACCTCCATTTTGTAAGAACTGCTGTTTAAAATTTTCCACTAAACACAGATGGTCCTGTGTCCTGATAATTCCAGGAAGAAACTAAACCAGATAGCCTCCCTGATAGAAGTAACTCTGCTATTGCTAGCTTCTGTAAGCATGCTTGCTCAAATAATGGAGAAAATAAGACAGTTTGGGGGAGGGGCTAGCTATCTGAAAAACAAAGCCAATAACGTAACGTAATGCACTTCTTGTTAGCATATAGTCTAGTCACTGCCCCCTCTCAATTATTTGGTCCTGGAAGCCAATCTTCTGGCCTGGGGGTCTGTCCTTGTTTTTTTCCATGCCAGGTGTCTTCTGGTTATCTGAACTGTGCTCAAGACTACAAGCTTTCTGCAAGATATCTGCTAAAATCACTGTCCCCTTCCCAGCACATGGTTTTGTTTTTTTGTTATTTTTTGTTTTTTGCCTTTATAAGCTAACCCCTAAATTCATTCGAGGCCATGAGAATTTGAAGGACACAAATCCTCCTGAGGCCAAGGCTTTTGAAATAAAGACTCCAAATTCAGCTCTCTGATTATGGTGTCTTCTGTTTAGCTCACTGGATTTCCAATATAACATATGTGCCATCTACAAAAGAATAACTTCAGCAAAAGATACACACATAATGAAAGTAAAAGGATAGAAACATATTTACTATATATACAAACAAAAAGGGCCCTGGTCTGGTGGCTCAATTCGTTAGAGTGTTGTCCCAATACATCAACTTTGCGGGTTCAATCTCTCATCAGGGATATTCAAGAAGCCACCAATGAATGAATAAATTAGTGAAACAACAAATCAATGTTTCTCTGTTTTCTGTCTCTCTATGTCTCTCTTCTTTTCTCTCTCAAATCAATAATTATAAATTCACTTAATAAAATGTTCCCCTGGCCAGTGTTGCTTAGTGGTCAAGTGACTAACTAGGAAATAAGAGATCACCAGTTCGATACCAGGTTAGGACACATTCTGGGGATACAGGCCCAATCCCCAGAAGGGAGCATGCAGGAGGCAGTGGATGGATTTTTGTCTCTTACTGATGTTTATAGCTCTCTATCCCTCTCCCTTTCTCTCCTTGAAATCAATAAAAATGTATTTAAAAATAAAATAAAACATTTTTAAATGCAAGCAAACAGAAAAAGCTGGGATAGCAATACTTATGTCAGACAACATAGAAGTTAAATCTAAGACTATGAAAAGGGTCATTACATAATAATATGGGAACAATCCAGCAAGAAGTAATAACCTTTATGCACAGGAGCACTTTAATATATAAAACAGATAGTGATACAATCATAGTTAGGATGTTAAATACTTCATTGACATCAAGGAATAGAAGTTAATAACACCCTTAAAGGACACATTTTACCTGATACAAGTCCTTTTTATTTTCAGAGCATTATTACCCTAAAATTTCAGGTTATAAACTTTCTTCAAGTACACATGGAATAGTTTCCAAGATAGACCATGAGTAAAACCTCAATAAATTTAAAAATACTGAAATCATTTTACACATCTTCTCCAACCACAGTGGTATTCAACTAGAAATCAATTATCAATTACAAAACAAACAAACAGCAACAACAACAAACAAAAAAACATACAAACACCTAGATGGTAAGTAATCTGTTACAGGGCAGTGAATGGGTTAACAATGAGATCAAGGAAGAAATTAAAAGACATCTTGAGACAAATGAAGACATGACAAACCAAAATCTATGGGACATCGTGAAAGCAGCTCTAATAGTGAAATTCACAGCAATACAGGCCTACCTCAAGAAATAAGAAAAATCTTAAATTAACAATGTAGCCTTTACCAGAAGACATGTTTTAAATGAGCCTATTGGATTGTTTTAAAAGGTATGTAACATAGCTGAAACCGGTTTGGCTCAGTGGTAGAGCATTGGTCTGTGGACTGAAAGGTCCTGGGTTCAATTCTCCGGTTCGATTCCAGTCAAGGGCTTGTACCTTGGTTGTGGGCACATCCCCTGTAGGGGGTGTGCAAGAGGCAGCTGGTCGATGTTTCTCTCTCATTGATGTTTCAAGCTCTCTATCTCTCTCCCTTCCTCTCTGTAAAAAATAAATAAAATATACATTTTTAAAAATAAAAATAAAAGGTGTGTAACATGATCTTAATTCAATTGATTGATTATGACAGTATTCTTTTCTTGGGGATTAAACTTAAACATCAATGATTTTACAGTATAAATTTCAGAAGCCTTTGGCACATGTATCATGTTGTGCAATGATCAACCATATCTATTTACAAAATCTTTCATCACTCCAGAAAGGAGCCTCATTTTCATGAAATAGGAACTCTCCATTCCCCCTACCCAGTCTCTGGAAAACACTTGTCTGATTTCTGTCTCTATGGACTCACATATTGGGGAAATTGCATGTAAAAGGAATCATGCAATAAAATAAATACATTTTGCACTGTGGCCTGTGGGGTAAAGTGGTTGGAGCATAGACTCATGCACCGAAGGATCACAGGTTCAATTCCCAGTCAGGACATATTTCCAGTTTATCAGTTCCATCCCTGTTGTAGCCCATGCAGGAGGCAACCCACAATGTTTCTTTCTCACATCAATGTTTCTCTTCCTCTCTCTCTCTCTCTCTCTCTCTCTCTCTCTCTCTCTCTCTCTCTCTCTCTCTCTCTCTCTCTTTCTCTCTGTCGGCCTGTTCCACTTTTTCTAAAATCAATAAAATCAAACCACTTCCTCACTTTGGGATTTAACTATAAAAAGACTTATTTTGCATTACAAACATAAAACAATGATACGTAGTTTACTATAATATTTTAAGAGTATTACACACACACACACACACAATTCAATTGAGAACAAGAAAACTAAAGAGCACTTTACCTTCAAGACTGCATTGTCTGATGTAGGACATGAGACAGCAATTTGACGTTTGCTATAAAATGTACAACATTTCTTTAAAAAATCCATTTATTTTTTAAAAGCAACAAAATTTTAAGTGAAAGATCAGCTTTTTGTATATCAAATAATTATTCTTGACATAATTAACACTGGACCTATGTTTAAAAAAAGCTTTTAGTTTTTTTATTTCTGCTGCTACCTCTTCCAATCTATTTATTGAAGACACACTGTGCCTAGGATTAATTTGTTTGCAACCCTTACTGACTGACATAACTTTTATTCCCTGAACTGGAACTCATCTGATGACCTATTGTCCCTTTCCTCATCATCTGTCCCTGGTTCAAAGACTAATGGATGTCAGTCAAAAATGCATTTTTGCTTCTTTAGCATAGAAACCACTTATTAAGGAGTTCCCAATCCTTCCTTTTACCCTCAAACCATACAGGAAGTTCTCCGAAATGGTGGAAAGTTAACTGTCCAAATGTCAAAGAACAAATTATATGCTGTTAGCCTTCCCATTCCCAGATCAGACTTTTGGAGGCTCTAGGCTAGTTTCTAACATTTAAATCTTCAGCCTATGAAGGCACAGTCTCATGAAACAAGGATGGGCTCAAATGACCAAGAATAGGAGCTCCCTATTTCCCTTGCTCCTGGAAAACAAACTAAATGGAGCCTGAGTTATCAACTCATAACATTGGTGTATTACCCAACTCCATTAGTGACTTGACATCTAGTCCTGCCTCTGCCCAACCTTCTGTGTACATGAGAAGCACAACAGCTAATTGGGAAAAACAGTAGATGGGAGAATATACCTGCCTTGAGCCATAGCTCTACGTAGTTCAGCAATATCCAGTCCCCTAGGACTCAAGGGAACTTAAACCCCACTCTGTGAGTCAAAATTCAGGTTTATGAGACCACAGTCACATTTGTGATCAAAAGAATCTTTCCAGTGCCTCCAATTTTTTTTTTAAATATCTTTTAAAAGAAACCTTGAATGTTGTTAGTTCCTCCAGTTAAACAAATATACAGATTAATAGCAACCTCTTCAGGACATTTTTGAGCCCCATATTTTTTAATCTGTCAAATCCTGTGGCCTTCCTTCTTAAAATGTATCTTTAACTTGTCTTAAACCCCAATATCTTCATGTCTTTATTAAACTCTTATTCCAATCTCAACCCAGTGTTGTTCCTCTTGAAACTTGGAATTTCTCTTCTAAATCCATTCTTATGTTCTATTGACTGCATTCACTACCCACTACCCATATTTCTATTATGAAATCTCACCTACAGAGTGATAAAGAAGAAAGAGTATTATACTCAGCAACTTGAATTTACAAGTCAGTTCCACCATTTACTATACCCCAAAAGTCATTTTAATATCTTTAAGTTTCTAATACTCCATGTAAGCAACCACTTGGCCAGGACATTAAACACTGGTTGAAGAGCTAGAGGGAATTTTGTTTAATTATTTTCTATGCTTCCTTAAACTCCTGAAATTCTATGTGCCTTTGATTCTGTCTAGAAAGAAATGGAGAACACCATAGCTGGCAGAATTGGCGGGGGGGGGGGGGGGGGGGGGGGATTAACACAATGAACAAAACACCAAAAAAAGTGTTAAAAAGAGAACAAAAATGTTAAAAATCAAGAAGTCATGGAAGAGGAGGGGAAAGGTATAGCAAAAAAGAAAAAAAATTCATATAACTAGACCAAGGTACTAGCTTGAAAAAAAAACAGACTGGGAAGACAATAAATGGAGAAATCAATTAGAGCAATCCTCTAAATATATGCTAAATTTAATTAAGATAACATGGTCTATACATAGATATTCTCTACTTACAGATAAAAAATTAATCCACCTCCCTGACCCACAGTTGCCTCATTAATAAAAAAAAAAAAAAGTTGCCTAATTAATACAATAGCACAGCTACTTTGAAAGCTATTGTGATGATTATATAACACAGGTTAAATACATAATATAGGGTCTAGCCCATAGTAGAACACTCTAGAACTGTTAGTTTCTTTTCTCTGCATTCCTGTAAGTAATATATAATATTTTAAAAATTCACAAGTCCTACCTGCATAAAGCGTCTTCTTCAGATATGTCACATACTGTTAAGGGAAAAAGCAAAATACATTTTAAAACAACAACAACAGAAAAATACAGGGCATTAAAAGTACCTGAATAATGCTTTGTTAGAAAATATTCCTTTGGGAACACACACCATATACCAGAGGAAATATTAACCATATTATTGGTAGGCCATTAATACATTAAGAACACTTACTTTCTCTTTTTAAATATATCAAATGCAAGAAACAAAAGAATGGGATCTGATATTTACAATGAACATAATCCCAAACAAACCCCATTAGACTGACAAAAAATGTCATGGATAGAAGCATAATTATATAAACTAACAATGTCAAATGAATATAGCATGAATTTTCTGGGCTCCTTTCACTAAGAAAATTTTAGAAGAGAGTGTACTTATTTTGCCATAACACAATATAACTTCTGCAGCTCTTCAGCGAAGACTAGCCTTTCAGCATAATAATTCTCAGGTAGGAGAATAATTATATGCTGAGTCTTATGAATCTTTCTAGTGAATAAGCAAGTTTAGGTAAGGGATTAGGAACCTCTAACAAAATTTCATTATGTGAAATTGTTACAATTTGGGTTGATACATGATCACAGTCTGAACTTGATTTCACAGAATACCTTTATTTGATTTTCTTTTACTCCATGCTTGTTTTAGAGACTTCTGTAGATGAGTAACTATTGAAATAAAGGCATGAAAGGGACACATAAAACATTGATGTCAGAAAACAATGTAAAAGAAGCAGCAATTTTATTTAATAAAATAAATAATAATAAAAGATAAAGAATCCAAATGATAACATATTCTGTAATATAGAAGTTCCTCTCAAGAAAATTGTCCTCACACTGACAATTTTCTCAACTAATCAGGCTTTAATTCCTTTTTTGCAAGAGTAGTTATGAGTCAATGAAATAACTTTGATAGCTACAGAAAAAACAATGATTATCACATGTAGTATAATAGTGTTCTGATGCTCGCAGAGTTCTTTTTATTTGCTCCTAATCCTTTTCTTAATTTCTTATAAAACTGAAAGCATGTCTCACGCATTAAAGGCAATTGTTGGCATAACAAGTCAAAAAGCAAAGAAATATTATCCAGAAGGTAGGAATATATTCCACCAAACTCAACATGTATAAAAACATACTAGTCTTTCCAGTTGAACTGTGGCTCTTTCCTGCTCATCTCACAAAGTCCTATTCTTCATGGCCACTCTAAATGCCAGTGCACTACCAGGAAACCTACAAATGCATTTCTCTCTCTCTGCCAACATTTTACATTGATTCATCACAAAATTGTATGAACTAGACCTCTTCTCTCTCTCAGCTTTATTTTGTTACTGTCAACTACCCTAGTCAAACACTTAACAGATGGCTCTCTCGGGGGGGGGGGGGGGGGGAGAGGAATACCACCAATTATTATTGTTCCCTCTTAAATTAATAAGATATTTTAAGCAGAAAAGTGGGAAAGACATAGCCCTAGAAAAACAACAACATTTTAAATGGAATAAATTAAACTTTCTGACTCATCTCTGCATGGATAGGTGAAACTTCATAATAGACAAATGCCAGCCCAAGGAGGCAAAATATCCCTTTGTTTCCCAATCTATTTATGTGATTTCCTTTCATCTATCATTTACATGGGGGGGGGGGGCACACACAGGAAACAAGGAACCACAGGCCAATACAAGCTGCCATCTGGTTTTGTAAAGATATGGCTCACTGGAACACAGTCTTGCCTATTTAATTAAAGATGGTCTAGGGCTGCTCTCACAGTACAATGGCAGACTTGAGTACCTATGCCATACCACATGGCCTAAAATCATGCTCTTCACCAACAAATCTTGCAGATACCTACTTCATATCACAACCAGGGGGCCCTAATCAAATACAGTCTTGTTACACTTCTGCTCAAAACTCCAATTTATCCCCAGTAAATATAGCTGATTCCCTACCTCAGTCTCCATTCTTGCTGGAGAACCAATATCTCTATTTGGACATTTACTGTCATGATACACAAAGAAGGTGGTATCTCTCAAGCTCCAAAAAGAGAAATAATTATACTGCATTCATCACAGTAAACCAGATTACCACTAACTGGTTTAGGAATGATCATGTGATGTAACCCAAGCCTATAATATATTAGGAGAAGTCAAATGCAAGGCAATCAGTTTTCTTCTGATTTAAAAGAAACATATAGGTTAAACATATAGGTTGTGGTTTGGTGGATAGAGAGTCATCCCAGTTACTAAGAGATGGCTGGTAGTATTCCCATTTAGGGCACATGTTCAAGTTGCAGGCTGGATGCCCAGTATTGGTGGGCAGGAGGCAGCTGAACAATGTGATTGTTTTCTTGTTATTTACATCCCTCTCTCTCCTTCCCCTCTTCTCTCACTAAATATAAATAAAAACATATTTTTTTAAAAAATAAAGGAAGCACATATATCAACATCACTAATCAGGAAATGCAAATAAAAGCCATAATGAAGTACCAGCTCACTCCTTTCAGAATGGCTTTCATCAAAATATCCTATCTAATAAATGAGTAATATGCAAATTAACCATCACTCTGACACCCCCACAAGCTATGCCCACCAGCCAATCAGTAGCAAGTATGAAAATTAACCTTAACCAAGATAGATGTTGCCACAGAGCAAGCAGGCAGGCAGACTTGGGTTTCCTCAGCGATGGAGGAAGCCAAGCTTTCCACATACCCTGGCAGGCCCAGGCCTCCACTCAAGGCTACAAAGTTTCAATTATAGAAGATAAATAAATCCCAACAGAAACTGTTGCCACCACAAAGTAAGCAGGAGGCTTGGCTCTGCTCCAGGCTACAAAGTTTCAATTGTAGAAGATAAATAAATCCCAGTTACCAGGGCCTCCACTTGGGTCTCCTGGGGGTGTAGCCAGGCCTGCAAACCACCACAGGCCCCTTGTCCAGGCTGTCCCACACCCCAAAGGAATCCCACCCTAATCTGGGACACCCTTCAGGGCAAACCAGCTGGCCCTCACCCATTTACCAGACCTCTATCCTATCTAATAAAAGAGTAATATGCAAATTGACCATCACTCCAACAGAAAAGATGGCTTCCCCCATGTGGTCAAAGATACTGCCTTCATTGGACACAAGATGGCTGCCACAAGATGGCCAGCAAGGGAGGCAGTTGGGAGGGACCAAGCATGCAGGGGAGAGCAGTTGGGGGGGACCAGGCCTGCAGGGTAGGGCAGTTAGAGATGACCAGGCCTGCAGAGGAAGGCAGTTAGAGGCAAACAGGTTGGCAGGGGAGCAGTTAAACATCAATCAGGCTGGCAGGGGAATGATTAGGGAATGATTAGATTGGCAGGAAGAAGTGGTTAGCGGGAATCAGGAAGGCAGGCGAGCAGTTGGGAGCTAGCAGTTATGGGAGGGATCCCAGGCTGGGGAAGGTCCAGGCTGGGCTGAGGGACACCACCCCCATGCACGAATTTCATGCACTGGGCCTCTAGTAAATAAATAACAAGAAAAAGGAAACCCACGTGTGCTGTTCATATGATTGTAAATTGGTATAGCCACTGTGTAAAGCAGCATGGAGATTCCTTAAAAAGTTGGAAATAGAACTGCCATTCCACTTCTGAATATTTATCCAACAAATACATCAACATAAACTGGCAAAGATATTCACACCCCTATCTTCACTATACCATTACTTACAATAGCCAAGATATATAAGCAAACTATGTGTCCTTCTATAGATAAATTAATAAAAAAGATGCAGTATATATAATATTACTCAGACATAAAAAACAATGAAATCTTGATATTTTGAGCAACATTCATGGACCGAGTGGAGGGTTATGCTAAGTGAAATAAGACTGAGAAAGACAAATACCATATGATGTCACTTACATAGGCAATCTAAAACCACAAAGCAAACAAAATAGAAATGCATCCCATAGGTGCAAAGAACAAACTGATAGTTGCCAGAGAGTAGTGAGTTGAGGACATGAATGAAATTAGAAGAATATAAATAATAAGTGCAAAATTCTAATTATAAGATATACAAGCCACAGACACCTATTGTACAGTAAAGGGAATGTGTCAATATTGTAATAACATGGCACGGTGATAGATGGTTACTAGAGTTATCATGGTGAACACATCATAAGGTATGTAAATGCCAAACCATATATTGTGTGCCTACTAGACTTTAAAAAAAATTTTTTTAATTGACCAATGCAGTCCTTTGGTCTTCACACATTGTCATGTGAGAATAGGATGCTTCAGAGACATCACTAATTAGCTCACCAGGAAAGCAGACATAAGCATTGACAACCTAACAGCTGAATAAGGGACAGCACCTGGGATACTGATGAAATCACTGAACAACCAAAACAGTCCTCGTTCCTGTAGTTTCAGCCTCTGTGAATTAGCCACCCATTATTACCTGAAGCTAAAAGCATTCTAACTGAGAAATTTCCCAAGGCCCCAGGATAAGATCTAGTCCTTTCTGTGGTAGTAAAGACTTTCATAAGTTTGCCTTAGCTAGGCACTCACCTCATCCCCAACCATTCCCATAGCACACATTTTGCACATTGAAGCGGCAGTGCTCGTGTGCTGCCTCGCTTAGTTATCTCCCAAAGTTAACATGCACATAGTAGCCCTCGGACTCATGTTCCTGGTGCCACACATCACCCTTCTGCCCCTTTACCCAGCTTCTCCATCTGCAGGCTTAAATTAAACCCCACCCACGTTTTTTATTTTCTTTTATATGATTTATTTTATTTGTGTGTGTAGGTGAATTTTGGAGGACATTTATTATAGAAGTTGGGGATAGTGAAACAAGAAAGGGCTGGAGAAATGAGCTAGGCTCACTAAGAAGTCAGGTTTAGAAAGTTTGCCCAGGATGAATTGCTAGTGACTGTTGCTGCTCTGGACCCTTCCTGGGGTCACTCAGAGTTTAGGTAAATCATCCCTGTGAAGAAAGAAAAAAAGGGGAAGGCTTGGGTGTGCAAGCATGTCTTTCTTTTTTAACACTTTTTAAACATTGATTGAGAGAGAGAGAGAGAGAGAGAGAGAGAGAGAGAGAGAGAGAGAGAGAGAAAGAGAGAGAGAGAGAGAGAGAGAGAGAGAGAGAGAGAGAGAGAGAGAGAGAGAGAGAACATTGGTTTGCTGTCCCACTTATTTAAGCATTCATTGGTTGATTCTGGTATTGACCAGGATCAGGGATCAAACCCACAACTTGGCCTATTGGTACAATACTTTAAGCAACTGAACTACCAGCCAAGATTTCACCACATTTTAAAAACTGCAATTAGCATTATGGATTAAAGTGGCTGGTACATGCTACACGACAATAAAAAGAAGAAATAATGATAATGATAAGCTCCTAGTGCGTTCTACCACCTAGCAAGCATTAAATAAAGTATAGTAACTAATAGAAATGACAATGACAATAACAATCTCTTTGAGGGCAGAGACTGTGTTTTTAAAGTATTTCAATTCTGCAATATCAGAACAGCATTCAGTACCTAAAAGGCACCTGAGAGTTAAATAGTAGATCAATAGGCAGACAAAGTAATAACTGAATTTTGACATTTTCTTTGAAAATTCTGATGTGATAAACACAGAAATAAAGCAGAGACAGCTCTCATATTATGAGCTCAAGGTCAAAATGATATTGCATCTTTGTATTTCCTCTAAGTTACAAAACCAACATACCCAAGTCCTCTGGTAAGTCTACTAAGTCCAAGGTGTCCTCAGACAGTTCAGATTCAGATTGCACAATGAAGCAGGTGCCACATCTGAGTACCACACTGGCATCTTTGTCACTGTGAAACACTTTTGTATTTTTATTATAATTTTTTGAGTCTGAGTTGGGCTATTTGTATATTTATTTTTATTATCTTTTGATCGGAGCTTCTTGTTCTAAATAAATTACAGTGTCCTGACAATTATTCAACAAACAGAAGGATACATTTTGTTCTAGTGAATCAACATATCTCATTCTGTTCTGACATCTGAGGAATCAAGTTGATGATAGTGAGGACTTTTGCCATACTATGTAAAGTATCCTATGATTCTGAACAGGTATTGCCTTTCCGACTTCTGTGCTATTGGTAGGTATCTTTAAAAAAACAACCACATTGGACCCAGCCCGCATGGTTCAGTGGTTGAGGGTCGACCTATGAACCAGGAGGTCAAGGTTGCATTAGCTCTCGAGGCACATGCCCCCTTTGTGGGCTAAATCCCCAATGTGTGGTATGCAGGGGGCACACAATCAATGATTCTCTCTCTCTCTCTCTCTCTCTCTCTCTCTCTCTCTCTCTCTCTCTCACATAAATTGACCTTTATTTATCATACTAAAGTCTGTTTTGCTTTTGATACAAAGTAGGGTTTCATTACAGAAAATTCCAGTCTGCTGGAACAGTACCTGTGCCCATGGTACCATCACAGTGTCACTCTCTGCAGCTCAGAGCTTAAGACTTAATGCCCTGAGTGTGCTTAAGACTTGAGACAGCCTTGTGTCTCAGCTGTCTGAGCTATCTATTAACAACAGGTCTTATAATTGATGCTTCTCTGTCTCTCTCTCTTTCTCACCCTTTCTCTCTGAAATCAATAAAAATATATTTTTTAAAAATCTCATTAGGACTTTGCACAATAAGTTTTGCAGTTATTTTTGTATGCCATTTGTTTGTGGTACCAGGAAAGTATTGTTTTAGCTACTTTTTGAGTAAGACAAATCACTATGTAAAACAGGTTTCATTTACTAAATGTAATCCATTGCCTGTCAAAACTAAACAAAATGTCCATTCTGTATATACAAGTCCAATCTGTTACAATGTGAATACAGAGGAACATACAATATCCTAACTTAAAATCATTTTCCTTTTTTTACATATAGAAATCATGTAGGATGTTAGGGGTTAATACTAAATAAATGAACTTTTCAAACAACATTGCCCTGACTTTAAAATTACCTACAATTAACTTACAAATAATACTGAATACTATTCTATTAAGAAAGAGATTAAGAAAACTTATACATGCAATTTACACATTGTTTTTTTGTTTGTTTTTTATTGTTCTTCATTATTAAAACTTCCTTATTTTTAATCCATCTATGTAGGAGCAGCAAGAGTAATTCACTCCCAGAAGACTTACCAAGATTGTTACTTTTAGAAGGCTCCAAAGGTCCTCTTTTTTCTTTTTTTTCAAAAGTTGGTTGTTGGTTGCTGTGAATAAAAATTGTGATAAATAATATTACTATCTTAATACAAATATAAAAATATTTTCCAAATATTATAAATTCTTAGCTTATGTCACATAACATTAGACTTAATATTAAAACAATAATTATACTAGACACTTCAAATTTGTAAGTTCTATAAACTTCTTATGAAGCATGTAATTTTTAAAGAAAAGTAACATAAAAGAGTCATGATTTGAAGGCAATCTAGTTCAGTGAATTAATTAGAGTTGGCTTGACATAATGGCAAGTCTCTTGAACTCAGACATCCTACTTCTATAAACACGGCTATTTGTTCTCAAACAAGTCAGTTTTCTGTGGCTCAAGGTCCTCCTCTATAAAATAAGAATCTAGCTGCCTCACTTTAGAAGGTTGCCAAGAGATTGAAATGAATGAATACAGCAAAAAAGAGTTGCTCAGTAAGGCAAAAAAAAAATAATAAATAAATAAATCTGTTATAAAACTCTTTTTGTTGACACTGTTTTGGAATCCCAAAGAAATGGTAATGTGGGGTTTTTTATAGATTCTAACATTTAAATGTTGCTGTTTTCAGAAAATGGTATTAATTTTGGTTATTACTTGTCCTTTCTTTGTGGTTTGTAATTTAGGGGATCTCAGTTACTGTATAACTTGCAACTAAATTTGTGTACAAACACATTACCTCATCAAGTCAGATAGCACAATGGTCCCTAAGTTTTGTTTTGAATCCTATGAACTGTAGAAAACTAATAGAAGTCAGGACTTTGCCTGGACTACTACTAGCCTTTCTTTACCTCCTAAAACTGTGAACTAGCAGATCTTTATGAGAATGATGCTTAATCTCCCTGTCCACTCCCAGTTGGCTTGGAAGATAGAATCCTACTTGTCACACATGAATACTGATGGGTCATGGATCATGCACCCATAGCAATGGTAAGGACCAATAACCTAATTTTTTGTTTTGTTTTGTTTTGTTTTGTTTAATAACCTAATTTTGAATCAGAGCTTTCTGTTGGCTGACTTCCATGTGAGGCATAATTTAAAATATTTTGAAACCTGAAGTAAATTCAACTCAGTTGGGAATAATTCGTTGTTATGGCAAAGAGATCAGTTGAGGGGCCAACCTCAATTTTGGATTCTCGGGCAGGCTTTTGCCTACTACTCTGCAAAAGGAGAAATGGGATCTCCCACTAATTGCCCAACGATGCTCTACAGAATATGGAGTGACCTTGGGGTACAGAACTGGTAACAAAGGAGGAAGGAATGATTGTCTTTTCCTGCAGCATTATTTGAACCTCTCTGACAGCGTAGAATGGTTCCAACTAACACCTGCTTCTTCTATTCTAAGGCCTTCCTTATTTTACTGTCCCCAGCTATAACAAATATACTCTCAAATAAAAAACAAAGAATGAACAATCGTACCTTTCCATTGGATGAACTTTTGAACCTCTAGTTACTAAAAATTGCACCATTTTCTCTTTGTTTTCATTTTTGGCAAATGAAAGTGGTGTCAAGTCCTTCTGTAGAACAGAAGAAACAATTTATACAATTACATATATCCAAACTAAATATTAGAACTTATAAAAGATTCTCTGAACTTAAACATATAGAAAGTTAATAAAAAGCAGCCCCTTTGCCCTGGCTGGTGTTCTCATGGGTTAGAGCATTAGACTGCACATTGGAGGATCCAGGTTTGATTCCCATTCAAAAGGAGGTATCCAGGTTACAGGTTTGATTCCCAACCCTGCTCTGGGCCTATGGGGAGGCACTACACATAGATTTCTCTCTCTCCCCCTCTCTCTCTCTCTCTCTCTCTCTCTCTCTCTCTCTCTCTCTCTCTCTCTCTCTCTTTCTCATCTCTCTCTGTGTCTTTTTGTCTCTCCTTTCACTCTGTCACTCCCTTTAATTCTCTCAAAAACCAATGGAAAAAAATATCCACTGATTAGGATGAAAAAAAGTAATAATAGCAACCCATTTCTTCTCACCTCTGTGCAGTCACTGGCTGCTCCTTCCCTTTATAATATCCTCCACTCCCTCTTCAACAGATTAATGGTAACATCATTCCCCAAAACTCACTTCAAACATTTACAATGCGGGTTCCTTTCATAGCATCTATCATGCTATACTGTCATGATTATGCTGCCTGTGGACTGAGACTTCCTCTTCCTACTTGCATTCACCCAGCTCCTCTTGCTGGGATTAGGCCTCCTCTTCCCACCCACAGTCAGCAGCACCCATTTCCTAAGCCCCTGTCAGCATAGCAACGAGTCCCCAACATCACCTCAATCGCCCCCCCCCCCCCCAATCCAGGCCTTCAGTCCTTCGTGGACTCTGAACCTATCACCCATGCCCAAGCCCTAACAGGAAGATCTTCCTTCTGGGCTGGAGACAGAGCTTTGTCCCTTCCTTGGACACTACATTTCTCCAGCCTTCCCTGACTGGGCTTTGGAGTTGTTTCCATGGTGACAGGGCCTCAGTGTATGTATATGAGAAAGAAAATACTTGTTCCCAGCTGGTGTAGCTCAGTGGTAAAGTGTTGACCCTGGAACCAGGAGGCACATGTAGGGCTTGTGGGCTGGATCCCCAAACGGGGGTGTGCAGGAGGCAGCCAATGAATGACTCTCTATCATCATTGATATTTCTATCTTTCCCTTCCTTTCTCTTTAAAATCAATAAAACATACATTAAAAACAAAAGACTTGATATTGAAGTAAAAACATGTATTTCAAATACTGTATAAAGAAAGTTACTTGATCTATACCTTGTTTCTCGCTTCCATATTTGCCATACAGGAAAGTAGCTTTTCCACTATAGCTGTGTTGGTACCAAGGATAGCATAGTGGAGAGCAGTGTTGCCGTGGATGTCCGTCACATTTGGGTCGGCACCATGGTCTAGTAGAATGGTGGCACATTCTTCTTGCTCACATTGTATGGCCTGTCAGAATTATGCCAAAAAATTGATGATAAGTTTTTGAAATGCAAAGTAAACATTCTACAAGTTTCACAATGGCTTTTAGTTAAATGAGATAAACTAATTGTTATTCTAAGTAATTAAATTAAACCCATCTCATGTTGACACAGTTAGCTAATACATACGTGAATCAGAGCAGTTTTGTTGTCTATATCACAGAGGTTCAATAGGCAATGTCTGCGTGCTAGCAGTCTCACCACTTCTGGATGGCCACTGCCACTGGCCACGTGCAGAGCAGTCCTATGAAAGTGAGAGGACTCCTTAGGAACTTAGAGGGCACCAGAGGGAAGCATACAATTGTCTATGTTATCATAAACATTTCTCCCTATCCCTTCAAAACATATATTTATTTTTCTTCTGTAGACAGTACAATATTTAATAGTTCTTGTTACTCACCACATTAGTGAAGGAGAAACCTATTTGAATAGAGAGGATGACCTAGAGATTCAGCTCAATTTGGTTCTGATCCTATTTTAACTGTCACTTATTAGCTGTCACTTGGCCTTTCTGTGCCTCAATTTCTCATCAGCAAAATGGAGATAAAAATAATAGATATATCACAGGACACCATTGTTGGCTTTAATGAGAATCTATACAAAGTGTTTACTACAGTTCTTAGCCCAGAAAAAAAAAACCACACAACTCAATAATTGTTAGATAATATCAATATTATTATTATTATTACTACCAATTTACAAAAACAACATTGCAATTAAGTAAAATGATGTCATTATACCTACTTTGCAGAACAATTATAAGCATCAGAAAAAAACATTATTTCAATGATTCTAAAGTGCTTATTTTCTCACACTTTAACATCTCTTCCATTGGAATCCAATTTTTAATTCAGAATGTCTTACAACCATTATTGGAAGCATTTAAAATTAATTAATATAAAAAATACTGACATCCTGACATCCATGGTACCTTATATTCAGTAAAATAATGCTAACTACAACTTTCCTCCTGTAGTTTTGTTAAATGGTTGGCATTTAAATACATTTTAATTCTTAATAGCTTTATGGGGATAAAGAGGACAAAAAAAGGAAATCAAGAAATTTTTAAAAGTAATTCTTACTTTGATTTTTAAGAAAACAACTCAAAGGAAGGTCAGGATTCAAATATTTAGGTTGGCTCATGTTGTTCAATATTTAGATTTATAGATTGTAGGGAAAGTAGAAGTTCCCAATGATCAATATTACTATTTATTACTATTATGCATTGTCAAAGGGCAGTCAAAGATTATATTTTGCAATTTCCTACCTTCAGAAATACTTTTGTTTGAAAGCAGGGAGAAGAAGCTTCAACCTGATGATTTTCTAACACTTCAATTATAAATTTCTCATTTTGCTCATATTAGACAACATGAAGATTGTAAGGATGAAAAGGGCCTGAGAGTTGGAGGGAAAGGGTCCTGAGGAGAATATTTCTACTATAGAATAGGTATTCAGGTTATATTTCATGTAAAAAATGGATTGAAAGAATGGGTACACATAGTGGAAGAGTTCAATATTTTAAAATAATTCTTTATAGATTAAAAAAACACTTCAGCATTAGTAATAATCTTTTACATTTTCTCTCTTTTTAAAAAATGTTTATGGTTGAGAGTATTACAGATGTCCTCCTTTTTTCCTTCATTGTCTCCCTCCACCTCGTTCCTGCCCCGCCTCAGGCATTCAACACCCTACTGTCTGTGTCCATTGGTAAAATCTTAGGTTAATCTCGCCCTGCCTCCTCTGTTCCCTTTTGCCTCTGAAATACAGCCATGTTTCCATGCCTCTGGTTCAATTTTTATTCATTGGTATTTTCTGTTTATTAGACTTCTTATTCATTCATTTTGATTTTTAGATTCAATTGATGACATCTACACTAATAAAAGAGAAATATTCAACTTGACTGTACCTCCATGACACTCACCAGCCAATCAGGAGTAAGTATACAAATTAACCCAGCAAAGATGCCTGCTTAATTTGCATACACAGGTGCGAAGAGTCTGGGCGGGGTTGGATGCCTGCTATGACTGGGAGGGGGATTGCGGAGGGAGCTACCAGAGTGGTGGTCCAGTCAGTGCAGAGAAGACTCAAGGCTTTGGCTAGAGTGAATCTCCAGCCGTCAGAGCAAAGACAGGAGGTGGCATCCGGAGCAAAGTTTGGTTCCGGTGTCAGAGGAAAACCGATGCCGACAGCCAGGGGAAGGAAAGCCTATTGCACAAATTGCTGTGCAACAGACCGCTAGTATAATAATAAAAGCTTAATATGCTAATTAGACCAAACGTCTTTCCAGACGACCTTCCAGGTGAAGCCGGGGCTATAGCCACAGGATCAAGGAAGCCACCACGGCTGAGAGGAAATGATCCAGGCAGCTGTTGAAGCTGCGAAGGCCTACTCTTGCTCAAATTGCATGCATCGGGCCTCTAGTAAATATATATTTATTGTCATATTATTGTTTATGTATTTTAACTCCTCCTCTTTTTCTTCTCCTTTAATGTTCTTAAGAATACCCTTCAACATTTCATGCATTACTGTTTTAGTGGTTGTGAACTCTTTTAGGTTGGGTTTTTTTGTGTGTTTTTTTGTTTTGTTTTTTTGTCTGTGATGCTCAGAAATAAATTTTAACACATTTTGAACCTATTTTTCACTAATATAAGATCATAATTTGCTTGTGTGTACGTATAACCATAATGAGTTTTTCTTATTAAGACATTACCTTTTTAAGAAGTACTGAGTGAAACAAACTATATTACTTAGCTTTCAGTATAAATAGAATTGATGTGTATAAAGAATATATCTGTACTAGAGGCCCAGTGCACAAAATTTGTGCATGTGGTGGGTCTCTAAACTCAGCCTGCATTCTCTCACAACTGAGAACCCTCAAGAGATGTCCAACTGCTGGTTTAGGCCCAATCCCACAGAGTATCAATAATAATAAAAGGGTAATATGCTAATTAGTCCAGATGTCATTCCAGACAAAGCTGAGGTCATAGAGAAGCCAGCCTAGGCTCCTGGTGCCTGCAGGCAGCCAGAGGGAAGCCAGCCTGGGTCCCAGGTGCCAGAAGGAAGCTGGTGCCAGCAGCTGGGGGAAAGGAAGGCCTATTCTTGCACAAATGTCATGCATTGAGTCTCTAGTATTAGTATATCACTCTTTTATTAGGTCTCTCACAATCTGAGATTGCTGATTTCTAACACTCACCCTCCTGCCAAAATCTCTATTGCAAATGTCAAAAGCAAATTAATTTTAAACATCAGTATAAGGACAATCGCTGGTCATCTTCACAAACTTTATGAATAGAAAATATTATTTTCCTCTTTTAACTTATTCCCTTTTTTCCAGAGACATTAAATATTTTTTCATTTGTCCATTGGTTAATTATACTTATGAAAAAAGAACTTTGTTCATGTTCAAGTTATAGTTTTTTGTTCTTGATTTCAAAGACTACTCTGTAAAAGGATGGCATCTGTTCTCTGATACACATATACTGCAAATATTTTGCAAGAACATTTTCTTTTATTTTGCTGAGACTATTTTCTGGTAGACTGAGTGTTTGAAATTTTTTTAAAATATACTTTTATTAATGAGTAAAATATATTTTATTCAATGTTGAGAGAGGATTTTTGATTAGCTGCCTCTTCCACACTCCTACAAAAAATACAGCCCAGAACCCAGACATATGCCCAGACCAGTAATGGAAACATGATATCATGGTTTTTAGATCAACACTCAACCACTTAGCTATGCTAGCCAGGCTTGAATTTTTATATTGCTCAATCAACCTCCAGAATTTTTTTACTTCTAGTCTTTTTCAACATTAAAATATATATATAAATAGACATTTGTGTATTCTCCTGGTACTTCTCTCTCATTGTGCACTTTTCTATAGTATGTAATGTGATATAAAAATGTGTACAATACAAAATCCTATATAATAAAAGGCTAATATGCTGTCAGTCGTCAATCAGCTGTTCAACCAATTAAAGTATAATATGCTAATGATATGCTAAGGCCACTCAACCACTTGCTATGATGTGCACTGACCACCAGGGGGCAGACAGTTGAGTGGTCGACCAGTCTCTATGATGAGCACTGATGACCAGGGAGCAGCTTAGCTAGGGTCAGACCTTTCAGGACTGAGGGAGAGAGGCCATACATGCCCTACAGCCCTCTCATGGCCCCGCCCCACTGGCCAACCTCTCGTGTCCTTCCCTGTCTGCAATTGTGCATTGGTGGGGTCCTTTGGCCTGACTTGTGCCCGCTCATAATCTAGAACCCCTTCGAGGGTGTTTTAAAGCCATTTACGGTCCAATCCTGTAGGCCAGGCTGAGGGACCCCACTGGTGCACAAAATCATGCATCAGGCCCCTAGTCAAATAAATATAAAAATGTTGAATCTACTTAATTTCATTTCCATTATTGATATGTAGTTAAATCACTTAAATGTTGTCAATAAATTGCTCTGTAAGAGGAATTATGAGTGAGTCCATGTGTTTTTATTTTTGCTGCTCCTAAATTTGGTCTGTGCACTAGACCCCAGGTCAGGTGTCCATCAGGGAGGTGCTGCTAGGCCCTGGGAAAGAAGTAAACCCAGCGCCCTGGCTGACAGGAGGCTGCGCTCCACCCACTGAGACCTGCAAGGGTGCCCCTCTCCCAGGTCCACCCACCTCCTCCCAGTGGACCCCAGGCCACCAGCCTCCCAGTCCCCATTACCTGCTCATCATGTCCCTACAATTCCGAATACTTTTCCTGAACAATAGGATTTGCTTCACTCTCTGCAGGTTGCCCACGCTGGCAGCTTTGTGGATCTCTCCCATGTGCTGGTCCTCATAGTGGGGGATTCTGGTTCCCACACCACTGCTCCCAGGACTGGTGGGGGAGTCCATGGCCTCCATGCTGGGACTTCTCAGAAAAGAAAAATTCTTTTTCATGGTAGAGAGTCTAGGGCTTCAGAGAAGCCTCAGCTTCCCTCTGCTTTTCTCACCTCCTGAGCCAAATACGAGCTCTCTAGTCAACCACCTCATGCCACAGCATTCAAGCAAGGCAGTTTGGCAGTTTAACATCTCCTCTCGGAATCATAGTAACCAAGCAACAGCCTCTGACATCATGACCCCTGCGAATAGAACCTTAAGGTCAAAGGTAGCCAAAACACATGTGCAAAGCCCAAATATCTCAAATCTCAGAGACTGACCAGAGGGTGGTGGGTTCCATGACTGGTCAAGGGCATGAACCAAAGTTGCAGATTAGAGCCCTGGTTCCAAGTTCAGGGCATGCTAGGGGCAGACAACTCAAGTTTCTCTGGCACCCTTGTTTCTTTCTTTCTCTCTCTCTCTCTCTCTCTCTCTCTCTCTCTCTCTCTCTCTCTCTCTCTCTCTCTCTCTCTCCCTCTCTCTCTCCCCTACTGCTCCCTCCATTACCTTTTGTCCACAAAGTAATAATAAATATTCAAAAATCTTAAAAATGGGAAAAATATCCTCAGGTCAGGTGTCCATCAGGGAGATGCTGTTATAACAAAATAAAAATTTTAAAAATTAACAAAATTTAGCTTATATATCTCACACACAATGTCCAAGAAATATTTGTTGAATTAATTAACCAAATTCAATAATATCTGTAGAAATATTTTTGTAAACTAAATACATGGTATTGTTATTTTCATTATTAGTACTCTGATTACTTAAAATTTAGCTTATGGTTGAATAATAATGAGGGCAAATAATGATTTGTACATGTTAAATTAATTGCAATACATTTTCTTTTATTTTAATAGCTCAGCTTAACTTTGGCTGACCTTATGGTTTTATGTGATGCACATAGGTAGGGCAAAAGTTAACCAGGCAAAGGCAGGCAGGTTCTCATTGTGATTGGGGCAGAAATCCTAATTAGATGGGAAGGCTCTACACTCCTCACCTGACCTCTTGCCCGTAAGACCATGAGTCAACCCTAAGAGATTCATACTTTAATCAGAAAAGTTTGGCAATGTTCCTGGTACTACTTGTTCACAGGAGAAAGTATGTATTTGCAGGCAATGTTTGCTTTTTTGGGGGGTCAGAAAACATACACCATGTTACACAAAATGCTTCCAACTTCTGCCATAGTTGCCAAGATATTAAAATAAATTCAGTGCTCAACTATAAAAAAAATTAACAAAATTTAAAATTGACAAAAATAAAAATTAAAAATATATATATCAGTTATTGCCTGTGGGCAGGTCTGAGTTCTGCTCAAACATCCCTGGGAGTTGGCCAAGTGTTCCCAGAGGCTTGCAACAGTTAGTTACCCCAGTGAAAAAGCTGTCTTTGCCTAAGAAGAGAGCGAGGGTGGTGGGAACTTCAGGATGCTCAAGGAATTGTGACGCAGAAAGCTCCACTAAAAGGCAGTTACTGCAACCAAAGACATGCATATAACCTTTACCACTGGACACAGGCACTAGGGGGTGAGAACATGTGCTGGGGGTGGGAGTGGCCAGGGAGAGACCGATGGGGGCAAAATCATATTGTAATATCTATGCACAGTCCAGGGAGGGCACTTGAAATATCAGGGGAAGCACTCTGTAAAGTATAAGTTGGGTAACCACTATGTTGTACACCTGAAACTAATCCTATATAATAAAAGTGTAATATGTAAACAGAACAAACTATGGAACAACCAAACAACAGGTCACTGTGATGTGTGCTGACCACCAGGTGGCACAGCAGCACGTAGCATAATGTGGAACATAGCATGTGTCAGCCTGCACCGGGATAGTGGAGCAGGTTAGTGCAGGTGCCAGACCATGGCAGGGCTCTGGTCGCTGTCATCAGGGTGAGCCTCTGCTGGTTCCTGAAAAGTCTTTGCTCTCACATGCCTTGGTCTCACCCAGAGCTCTTACCTGCTGCTGGCATCGGCCTCACTCATACCCACTGCTGGCACCTGGCACTGGCCCCAATCGCTTGATGCCATCAGCGGATGCGAGTGGGGCCAGTGCTGTCAGCACGAAGGAGTGGCAGTGGAGGGCGGGGGGCTTCTGACAGAGGACTGGGGGCCGTGGCAAGAGGGGTCAGGTGGGGGTTGGGAGGACCTGCCCTTGTGCCCACTGCAGCCTCGAGGCCCACAGTTTCTATCAAAGTTCACGGATTTGTGCACTGGGCCCCTAGTACAGAATAATATTTAAAAAATGGGGGGAAGAGGTCTAGATACAGAATCCTGCCCAAAATTAACTAAATACTTTATTTTGAAGTGTTCATAAAAGAGTGATTTTCAGAAACACTATTTTTCAATCTGGCAAAACTCAAAGAATTCAAAACACATGTCTTCTACTTTTATTCCCGGCAGATACACTTTAAAGCAGAGGTTCTCAATAGTTTTATTTCCAAAGCAAAATGGATTATGCTCACATGAGCACACTTAGTGAGATTATTTTAATTAGCTTGAGAATTAATTTTAACTGGCAGTCTCTTGAATCAGTATATCCAGGTACATGTTATGTCTCTTAAATTATTTAAATCCTACCCTGTTTCCCCAAAAATAAGACAGTGTCTTATATTAATTTTTGCTCCCAAAGATACTCTAGGTCTTATTTTCAGGGGATGTCTTATTTTTCCATGAAGAAGGATACGGTATACATTTATTGGTAAATAAAAATAAAGGAAATTTATTACCTATATATGGTACGGTAGTACAGTAGTTGTCAACACAAACTAGACAAACTGTGAATCTTACAGTATCAAGAATTTACTCATTTATTCAATGACAATCATGTCATCATCTTCTGGAACATCATCATAACAATCCAATTTCTGAATTTCCTGGTGAATTTCTTGTGACTCCATTTCTTTCAGAATCAGTGGACCAAATCTCTCATGTTTAGCCTAGGGGTGTGGGGCTTATTCTCAGGGGGATGCCTTATATTCCACTCAGAAGGAAACCTGTAAGTAGGTCTTAATTTTGGAGGATGTCTTATTTTCGGGGAAACACGGTATTATGTGTTCCTCTTTGCTTTTGGTATTTTTTTAAAACAAATCTCTTAATAATATTCTTATTTATTTATTTATTTATTTATTTATTTATTTATTTATTTACTAGAGGCCTGATGTACAAAATTTGTGCAAGAGTAGGCCTTCCTTCCCACTGCTGCCAGCACCGGCTTTCCTCTGGCACCTGGAACCCAGACTTCCCTCCAGCCATGGCTTCATCCAGAAGGATGTCCAGAATGATCTCTAGAATGACATCCAGTCTAATTAGAGTATTACCTTTTTATTATAATAGAGTATATACTAGAAGGCCAGTGCACAGATTCATGCACTGGTGGGGTCCCTTGGCCTGGTTTGTGGGGATCATGCTGAAACCAGCTCTCCAACATCCCCAGAATGGTCCCAGATTGCAAGAGGCTGGTTCTCTGGTGATGCACCCCAGAATTGTGCTCCCTCCTCTTTGGTTCTGGGTGTGTCACCCAAGATCCACATCTGCCAAGTAATCGCAGCTCAGCAGTCCCTGCACTGAGTGTCTACCCCCTGGTGGTCAGTGCGTGTCATAGCTACCAGCTGAACCATCAGAAAGTCGGCTGGTCACTTAGGTTTATATATATACAAATTTATACATTTATTTATAAATTTTATTTAGAGAGAAAGAAACATCAATTTGTTGTTCCACTTATTTACACTTTCGTTGGTTGCTTCTTCTATGTTCCTTGACTGGGGATCGAAGCCACAACCTTTGCATTTCCTAACAATGCTCTAACCAACTGAGCTTCTCAGCCAGAATGGTATTTTTGTTTTTGTTTTTGAGATTATCTTTGTTGTTGTTGTTGTTGACATTATTACAGATGTGGTACTTCTTTTTCTTATGTAAATCCTATCTACTTCTAGACTTATCAGGGATTTTTCATTTTTTATTGTAATGGAATATTGTTCCATTATCATTATAAATGTTTATTGTATTAATATCTGTGCAGTTAACAATCAGACTGAAGAAAGCTGTAATTTTGTAACTGGTGAAGGAGTTGAGAATTTATGGCACATTTTCAGGAAAGGCAAACTAGATGGAAAGATTTTATCAGAAAGATGTAATATTGCCAAATGTTGTAATGCAGATGAAAAAACAAATAAAGTAAAATGCAAGTAAGAGGGATTGTTTTTCTTGAAGAGTAAGATAATTACTAAAACTAAAATTATAATTAAATGCCTATTTTTTCCACAAATCGCATTAGCCAAATTTTCAGTAATTCGTTTACTGAATTATTATCTTCACCATTATGAAGCCTCTTGTGCCATACATGTTCCATATTCTTTAAGATTTACAAACTTAAAATCTAAATATTCATTTCCCTTGCATCCTTTTTTTCTCTATCAATAACTCCTATCTTTCCATCTTTATTCCATTTCCTAGGAAGATAAAATAGGTTGACTCCATTTTCCATAGAAACTGGTATAAACCTGTGAGGGCATACAGAGACTCCTTTTAGTGTAGTTCTTGATCCAGCAACTCCAATAGGACCACACCTGCTCTGGTGGTGGGACACCCAGGAGCAGGAGCTAGCCCACAGCAACAGCTCATGGAAACCCAGCTAACTCAGGACTCACCACATTCCTATTACATTTGCTCATGACTTCAAGTGCTAACCAAAATGAAAAGGAACAGAAACCAACACTGCACAAAACGCACCAGAAAAAAAATGTGAGAGATTGGCAAACACATCTTACAGCAAGACAAATACATAGGTTTTAATTTATTCTTCTGAGGCCATTTATTACCATTTTGTTCTTGTTGCTAGTTTGCAAAATTGCTTGGAAATGGAAACTCAGAAGCTGAATGTCTGGACCTTCAGCAGAAATTGCTGCTGGTGATGGATTCCCTGCTGAGGGATAAGTGCTTTCTTTGGTAAAGGAATAATGAACAAAACCAACAACAAATTCTGAGCCCAAGCTTTTGTAACTCAGCCTAGCTAGACCAA